CAATATAAAGTAGCTTGTAGCTAGCTACTTTTTCCAAGTAGCTTGCCCAGCTCTGATTGTAGGGCTGTGACAAACCGTATGTATTCGTTACCGAGTAACGAGTATTGTCTCGGATTTGAAATACGGATTCGTTACTGTCGGCCGCCTTTCGTTACTTGCATCAGTCGCATCTCTACGAACTTTTTTGTTTTTTTGAACATTTACCAAAGATTTTTCATATAAATTCTATAAACAAATTTTTAAATATTTTTAGACAGTTCGGGTATATTTATTATTGTCAAATATTGAAAATACGAATCCCGACAATACTTATTCGATAATCGGAACAAATGCGAATGGCGAATGAGTTACTTTTCTACTTTTTCGCATAGGTAGGTATCTTTCCTATCCTCTGAATACTAGAGTAACGGAAGTAACGAGTAACGAATATTTAGTAACGAATATTAATATCAAAAGTAACGAATACGTACGAGTATTAAAATTTTCGTTACTTTTACAGCCCTAGTTTATTGAGAACTAAATAGCGGATCATTTTGAAAATTTGGAAACCGGGATAAACGACTATGATGGATCTATCCTTGAAAATGTTTTTGACCATGTGGTGTTACCGCTTTTACTCTAAACTAGTAGCAACATCGCAATTTTAAATGGAACACCATACTTAAAATTATCTGCTGATGCCAGAAAACTTAAAAAATACCGGGTGTCCTATTTGAAAATCAAAAGTTATGGCCACTTCCGGTTAAACCGAAAGTGACTAGTAACGCAATTTACTTCTAAAAATCTCGAGAAGTTGCCTCGTTTAAGCTCCCCAAATTTCAAATTTTCAACTTATATATTAAAAAAGTTATAGGCTGTTCCCTATTCCTTGTGTCACCCTGTATGAGCAACAGAGCAACTTTTCTTAATACTTTCCTATACCTATCTGTCGCTGCTTTTCAGGAATAGGTAATTAATTTCAATTTTTTTTTTTAACGAAAACAGGACTAAATCTTAATATCTCCCTCCTATAAAAAAAATTTGGGCTGAAATTTGGATTATGCCAGAAAAATGCTAATGAATAAACCCTAATAAATCCAAAAAAAAAAATTAAGAATTAGGTATGGGCAAAGTATACATAGTCTGAAAGCTAGTTTTATCAACATTTTAAATCCGTATTATTATACAGGGTGTTCCATTAAAAAAAAACTGGCATTTTTGTGAGTTACCGACAAAAATTAATTTCGGGATCATCCTGGAGGTATACTCAAATCAAATCAAATCAAAATAAGCTTTATTGTCAGAAAATAGCATAAGAGTTTCATTGACAAAGCAATACTTAAAGCTAGATTGTACTTAAAATCACAAAATATTACAATAACAACATTCATAATGACAAAATAATCTTTGATAATGAGCACAACCACAGATAAAAAATGCTAAAAACAAAAAATTAAAAATCTTAATCCTAATACAACAACAACACAATAAATCAGGTTAAAAGGAAGTAAAAAATATAAAAAATGTAAAATTATGATTATAGTGCATCGCCAAAATATTCTTCTAGATCATAATAGGCTCTCTCTAACAACATGTATTTAACTTTATTTCTAAATGCTTTATAACTGTTAAGGTTTTTAAAATCATAAGGTAACTTATTATAAACCTTAATGCTCTTATATATCAGGGAATTTTGTGTGAGAGTGAATTTAGGTGTTGGTACGGGAATATTATTAAAATGTCTTGTTGAATAGGGATGCATGTGTGTAGAATCTTTATATTTTTTATGGATAAGGCAGACTGTTTCGAGTATATAAAGACTTGTAAGAGTTAATATTTTTTCTCTTTTAAACAATGGTTTACAGTGTTCTCTCGGGTCTGCTCCACAAACATGTCTTACACAACGTTTCTGAGAAATGAAAACCGAATTCCACAAGTACTGGCTGCAATTACCCCAAAAGGCAATTCCATATCGCAAGTGGGATTCAACCAGAGCATGATATGTGATTTTGGCCATTGATGTTCCTAGCCCACAGAAGGTTTGTCGTACTGCAAAACCTCCCATTGCTATCTTGGTATTCAAGTTCAAGATGTGCTGGTTAAATTTTAAGTTCGTATCTATATGTAATCCGAGAAACTTGGTGCTTTCAATAGAGCCAATCGCCTGATTTGCCATGTCTAAATTATTTAATGAAAATTTAAAGCTAACAACTTTTGTTTTTTCTACATTAAAACAGAAAAAATTTGCATCACACCATTTCTTAATTTGGTGTAAGTCGTCTGAGATAAACTCCTTCAAAACATTCGGGTCTCTATGAAACCAAAGAGGTGCGATGTCATCAGCAAAGCCAGTGAACTTACATTTAACTGGTAGCTCGAACAGGTCATTAACATAAATCAAAAATAAAATAGGTCCAAGGACTGAGCCTTGTGGCACACCTGTATCAATGGGTAAAGACGATGACAAGGAATTGTTATTTTTGATCATTTGTGTCCTTCCTGTCAGGTAAGAATTGAAAAATCTTGACGATACTCCTCTAAAGCCATAAAAGTACATTTTGTCCAGAAGCAAGTCATGTCTGACACAATCGAACGCTTTAGAGAAGTCGCAAAATACAGCAGCTGCAAACTCTTTATCATTCAGTTTGAAGTAAAGCTTCTCGAGAAAAGAAAAAATGGCATCATTGGTGCCTTTAGATGATTGAAAACCGTATTGACATTCGCTAATAAAATTATGACGGTTTAAAAAATCAACGATCCTGTCCTTAACAATTTTTTCGATTATCTTAGACAGCGTATTTAAAAGGGAAATCGGTCTGAAATTGGCTGGGTCAGTATGGGAACCTGCCTTATGTAGTGGGATTACCAAAGCCACTTTTAGAAAATCAGGAAATTCTCCAAATAAAAAACATTTGTTTATAGTTAGAGCCAACACATGCAAAACATTGTCATCAAGATTTTGAAATATTTTGACTGGGATTTCATCGATTCCCGCAGAGTTCTTGTTTTTAATATCTGTTATTATAGCTTTTATTTCATACGCATTTGTTTCAGTCAGTAGAAATGGTTCGCCGATATACGCTTGGTGATTAAGATAAGATAGGGGATTTGCTAGGGGTTCCAAATTATCTGAGAGTCTTTTTGCAACTGTACAATAAAATTGATTAAAAGCGTTTACTTCTATTTCAGCAGGTGGCTTGGCAAGGCTGTTTTTTCCCTTAAGCTCGTTCACAATTGCCCATGCTTCTTTTGCGGTATTTTTAGCGTTATTCATCCTATTTTGATAGTGCCAGCGTTTAGCTGTTTTGATCACTTGTCTGTAGATTCGTTTATAATTTTTTAAGTAGTTGTCAAAAGCAGGGGTTTTTGTAAATTTTTTTATATAATTAAGTGATTTTAAATTCTTAGAAGCAAGTTTTATGCCCTTTGTTAGCCATGACTTTTTGTGATTTTTTGCTCTTAACTTGCGTAACGGAAAGCACCTGTCAAAAGTATCATACAACAGATAGTGAAATCTTTCGAGTGGATTGTCAGATTCAGATATGCATCCCCAATCAACGGAAGAACAATTAGTTCGAAATGTTTCAAAATTCGCCCCTGAAAAGATTCTTCCATATCTAGATGGTATTTTTATACAGTCCCGAAACAGGCTGAAGCTGGCCAGCAATGCCTCGTGATCGGAGAGGTTTGGAGTAGCGATTACATTACAGTTAACCTTATCTTGATTTATATTTGTGCAGAAGTAATCAATCAAAGATGCAGATTCTCCAGTTATTCTGGTTGGGGAATTGACAAACATGGTTAATCCGTAGGAATTCAATAATTTTTTTAGATCCAATGTAGTTGCGGAATCATTGTTCAAAAAGTTTATAGTTAGGTCACCACAGATAATTATTTTTGACTGTGATGGTAGGTTAAGAAGTATGGTTTCTAGATTTATTAAAAAATTTGATGCATTCGCACTAGGCGGCCTATAAATGCATATGATATACAACTTATTTTTTCTGTTGAATCCTATTGAAAACTCGAATTCTTTCTCAATGCATAAAAAATCAAATTTATTCACAGCTTCTAATGCAAAAGTTGAAAAGAACGACTTCTCAATCAAAATCATTGCACCTCCATAACCATCAGAGGTCTCCCTGCAACATTTTGACACAACGAGATAATCTGGTAAATTAAATGGTTCCCAAACTCTCAGCCAATGTTCTGTAAGTAATACTAAATCTGGCTTATTAAAACCGTCCAAAAATACCTCAAGTTCACCTATCTTATTGCGAACAGATTGTATATTCAAGGACAAAATTGAAATTGGGTTTGATGTCATTTTATTAGAGTTTCTGAGAGAGGGGGTTCTAAAAAAGTTATATTGGAAACATTATGGCCAATGCCTAGTTCTAAATTTTTGTCAATTCTCAATTCTAATTTTTTGTCAATTCCTAATTCTAAATTCTTGTCAGTGGTTAATTTCAATGTATCAATACTTAATTCTAAATCGTTAACAGCATTGTCCACACATAAGTCAATTGCTTTTAAACAACAACAAGAAGATAAGTCATTAAATTTGGCCACCATAGAATAAATAAATGAAGCCATTTTAGTGAGACCCTTTTTATTAAGAAAAATGCCTCGAGAGTAATCCGAGTACCTGAATTTATTATAAAGATCAAGATAGTTTATATTAGTACAGAATCTTCTCAAGTTTGTAATAGAGCTTATGATCTTATTGTTTATAATTTCAATGTTTTTGTAAGGGATGCTGCAATCATACTTAGCAGGTATTGTGCAAACTATCAGGTTCGTGTAAAAGCACAAGTTTGTAAGCAATGAGATATCTCTTAACCTAATGTCATTGTTATTTAACCCGGCCAATACTATCACAAAATCAGATGTTGTCATTTTGGAGATTGAAGAGTTTTGACCATTTATAACATCTATAAAAGTAGCGTTCGGTTTGCATATAACTTGCAGTTCAAATTTGCCTAAGAGAAGTTTCTCTAGATGGGGGAATAAATATTTACCGTACTCATCAGTGAGAACAAGAATTTTGTGTTTTTTTTGAAGGGTGGAAAAATTTTCGCCTGCGAAGTCTATGTCTGCGTTTTGTGTGCCCATCATGTCATTGCTGGTATAGCCTCTGAAGTTGCTATCCTTGTTAATCCCTTCATAATTATTGTCCTGCCTAACTTTGCTTCTGGTGTTGTTGCTGTCTATCCCATTGCCAGACTTGTGCTTTTGTTTGCTGTACTCCGTGTTTTTAATTTTTATGGTAAGTTCTGCTAGCTTTCTATCATAATCGTTCTTGACTTGTTCTAATTCTCGCTCATACCGTTTGTTCTCATCCTCAAAAATTCTTATCGTAGTTAACATCTCATTACCAACTTTGCTCATCTGATCTAGTTCATCCTTCATTCTTATTATATTCTGGTCCCTATCCTGAAGAATACTCGAATATTCCTGTACAGCTATTTCTGCCTTGCTTAATTTAATTTTTAACTCTTCCATTTCAAGCTGATGCTTAGAATAATTATTAGGTTCTGATACTTCAGTTTCCGTTATATTGTCAATAGACTTTTTTGGCAAGTATTTATTGAGTGATTTCAATTTTTGTTGTAGGCCTTGGTTGGCAGTTTCGAGTGTTTTGATTTCATTCAGGTAGCTATGCTCAGTTCTTTCAGCTTCATCGCATAAGGTCATTGAACTTCTCTTTAGTCGGGCAATGTGCTGGTCTTTCTCTAAGTTATCCTTTTTTAAGGTGTTGATCAGAGAATGCAACTCATCCATAACTGTATTGTCCATGTTTAACTCCTCCGCATTTGCTTGTTCAATGCACTCGCGGGAACACCAAATCAAATTATCAAGAATTACTTTATATCCCTTGCGTCTTTCCCAGCAGCTTCTATGGACTATATTTTTGCAGACCATGCAAAACCAATTGCTGTGGTCTTTTCCTTTGCAGCATTTAAAACTCGAAGCCATGTTGAAGAATTAAAGTATTTCTTTATTTGTTTATTTTAAGTATCACTCAGACAAAACAGCATTGGAATCTTATTATTGTTTACATCAATCACAAAAATAAATATAAACATTTATAAAGATGTTTATATTAGGCTGGCCTGTTGAGATAAGAATTCATAGACGAATTCATTAACTATGCTTGATTTTTCGTGATTTCTCTACATACTTGAGTCTTTTTGGAACATCCAATTTGCGTAATAGATAGATCACAATAACACGAACAGTTTAACATAGAACACAACTATACTGTCCTTTGAGAAAACAATTTAAATCACAAATATATTAGGAACGATTACTACGATACGGTGTCGGCGGCAGCTATCAATCAAGCCACTTAAACTAAGATGTGAGCGAAAGATCAAATGCCTACAGAGATAACCCAAATTACAGCTCAAAATTGTTTTATAGGAGGGACATATTAATTAATTAAAAATTGAAATTAATTTCTTCCCGAAAAACGGCGACAGATAGGTATAGGAAGGTAATGAAAAAAGTTGCTCATAATTATATACCGAATTCGAAAATTTAAAAATATACAGGGTCTTCCATTGAAAATAACGATGTTGCCACCGGCTAAGAGTAGAAGCGGCAACACAGCACAGTCAAAAATAATTTTTAAGTGTGGACCATGGTCGTTTATCCAGGTTACCAGATTTCTAAAATGATCCGCTTTTTAGTTCTCGAGTATGATTACACGTTTTTTTTTTTTTTAAATGTATCCCTCCCGATGGCATCCCCTGCTATTTTCGCGGGGGTTGGTGCGCTAGCTTTTAAAAGTGGTGCGCTAGCCTGCGCTTGGTGTTCTTATTCTGCGCTAGCATTTTGAACAAGAAAAATTAACTGGGGGGGGCTAGCGTTAATCTGCCCCCCCCCCCCCCCCCCCCCCCCCCCCGATCGCATCCTCTGCTATTTCCGCGGGGGTCGGTGCGCTTGCTTTTAAAAGTGGTGCGCTAGCCTACGCTAGATATCCTCTATCTGTGCTAGCTTTTTGAGCAAAAAAATTCAACTGGGGGGGGCCAGCTTAACTGAGCCGGTAGCTAGTATAGATACTACAAGATAAACCTGACGATGAAACCAATCAAATCGAGAATATGTCAAAATTCTTGAGATGTTTTAATTAAAACTTTTTTTACCAAATTTTTGCCCTTTCTGGATTTTTATTTAAAAAAATTACACTCTTTAGTCGAGATAATAATTGAGGGAGTCAAACAGAAAATGGCTATTCAGGCCTCTGCCTGGATTCAATAAAGAGTTGATAGGGATAGACACACAAATTTGGTTTTTACCGACTCTATTTAGAGCAAATAATCCAATATTCCCACACGAACAATTGATTCTGAAAACCAGAGCAGCAGTACCTATTTAAAGTCCAAAAATTTGAATTGACTTACCTCAGATAAACGTGGCACTACCAATCAGCACTCACACAAAATGGAAGCCAATAATTAGATAAAAAATATTAAAATTTAATATTTATATATCAAGAATAGATAAGATAAGACTTATCAGGTAAAAACTTAACAATAATATGATAATATGAATTGATAGCAAAATATATTGAAAAATCTATAAGGGAGAATCCAAAAGTTAAGAGCAAAAATTACTAAAAATAAAAAGGACTCGCCTGTCAGACTTCTGTCGACGAAAAAGAACGTTTTAGAAACCAAAGCCCACAGGAAAATGATCCTGTGTTTTTTATACTTAACTGCATTTTAACCAGTTCAACCAATCAGACGAGTACACCCGGAAGATCATATTCACTTTACAATGAAAACAAAATGAAAACCCACGTGGAATAAAAGAGAATAAATAAAAATCCACTAGAATTATTTTAATTGTTTACAAATTATGTCAAAAATAAAAAACTGTTAATTAATTAGGTCATTGAGCTGAAAAATGATTATTTCAGAATCAGAAGTTAGAGAAAGACAGAAATATAGCCATTTACTAAAAGTGAGATAAATATAATTTCTCTCAATGAAAATTCAAATGACTGTCAAATGCGAAATAATTAAAATCATGCTTTGAAAAATAAATCCATCAGGTATTAGAGTACCTTCATTTAATAGATAGATATTTGCATTTTACGCGCATGATGGATAGATAGCACTTATACTATTTTGAATTTTGTGGTTATTTTTAGATTCTTATAAATTATTATTTTGCTGATTCTGAAATAACAAATATACAACTTTATAATGAAAATGAGAAGGGATAAATTTATCGTAACGATGTTTCAAAAAAATTTCGTTTATTTTACATATCACAACTTTCCTCTGATATCCCTAATTTTGCTATTGTCCGGCGCATCTCGAGTAAGTAAAATTGAGTAAGTTTCCACAACGTAGGTCCTATTTGTTTTTCATTTCGTTTTTCAGAAGATTTGTTAAGAAAAGAGGTAGTAAAAATTCACATCGTTCAATCTTGCTGGACGAACTCGGGTATGTTATACTCTACACTATCGAGGAATGCTAGTTCGCGATTTGATGCTCAAGATTATTACAGGTTGGAAAAATAATGACCTGCATTTTGTTTCTCACTAAACCATTATGAAAAAAGCCTATTAGTGCCTAGACTCCACAATTTTCAGTTCCTGTACACAATTCCAAAACGAACGTATAATAAAGAAAAAAAAAAACAGTTTCAATTAATTTCCTTTATATTATTTTCTCCGAATCCATCAGTTATCAAAGGGCAAAACGAACCTCGATAGAACAGACAGAAACACACCAATCAAAGGGCCCGAAATGAAAGAACGCCAGGATTAATTGTCACGTCAACTGAAATTTATTGAAACATTTTCTATACCTATATGAAAGGGGAATGTTGCGGTTGTAAACGATAAACGAAGGAAAACTATTTATTTTCTTATAGGGGCTAATGTCAAATTAAATAAAAATCTCCGGGGCTCTCGGCTGCAGTTTATTTACAATCCTAAATCACCCCCCTTTTTAAAGTGCCTTTAGTCGGGCCATATAAAAATGGAAGTCGGGTAAAAAGCGGTCCGACATCGTCGGCAATGTGCCAAACGGCGCAAGCACAAAAGAGCAAAATGCTTTTCGGGCGCAAAAAACTAACACTAAAATTTCATTACCGGTCCTGCTTCGGCATTTTTATACTTCATTAATGGTAATAAGTGGCGGGCGAGCTTGAAAATAAAAATGCATTAAGTGCCCGAAAAAAAGCTTTTTTGTTTGATGAACGATGTCCCCAAGCTCGATGTCTTTTTCAATGAAAACGCCACAGACCTTATCGGTTAATGGAATTTGATTTACATCATCTACAATTTACTTTACTTTTAGAAAACGTTGTTGATTCTACAAATTGAAAACAAAGTTTGAAAAGAATTCAGGCTGGTAGGCCATCAAAATTCGAAGGCGGTATTGTTAAACAAAGTGTTTGAGAAATCTGGAAGCGAATATTGGATTGAATCAAAGTAACCAAAAATCTCAGTACTACCTACTATGTATATTATTTTATAGTTTGTATAAAGCTAAACAGCCATATGCAACATCCTCTTTTAACTTTAAAAGCGACTTTGAATTTCAAAAATTTGTATTACGTAGGATAGAAATGTTTAAAAGTGACAAGTATTATAAAAAGCGCTTTTAAGTTAAAAGAATAAGTTGTATACGGCTGTAAGTTTTGTTTTCTGATACATTGCAATGTCATCTTGTCCGTTTAAAAATAGCGTATAAAAAATAAAGACTAATTACGTTAATTGATTGAGTGGTTATTAATTTTGTATCGTGATATGATTTGGAGTAGAAATAGGCACGTATTGTAACTTCATATCCTACTATGTTATAGATTAACGTCCATCTGTATCGCGGTATGATACCTTACCCTGGCACCCTCGAGAACTGTTGCTATTACACTTTTATTATGAATGAATTCAATGCCAGATGAAGTGATGACTTGCGAAGTGGAAAATTGGATAAATTCGGCACAGAAGTCGAAGGAGGTCTAGATCTAGTAGTCTAAACTGAAGAAATAATAACATAACTGCTGTAAAAAAAAAATGTAAAAGCAAACTAATCGGTCTGTGCTGATTTTTTAGGTTGGTTGTATACCTATCAATATAATAATAGCGTTCTCTTATCTCTCTGATATTTGGCTTATCGACAAGCTTCCTTTATCGCTTCACTCCAATATTTGTCCTCTCATCTATTATGATGTCATTGTTTCTTTTTGACCTGTTTCTTTTCAAAACGTTAATCCTTCTGATTTTCTCAATTAGGTCTTCAACGTGTTCAGTTTTGAAACTTTCCACAGCTCTACTACTTTCAGTTATGACTTTTTCTTATACTATTCTATGATCGTGTCGTTAATCGATTAACATCTACATAGTGGTATATAAATATTTAGTCAATTTTATTTTGGTTTTTTTCATTGTGTCCATTGCCTTGTACTGTTTTTCTTAAAATAAATATTTGTTTGAGAAAAGTTTTTGGATTAATTTTCTCCGCTTTTCAATCCATAGATTCGCTCTTCGAATAAATATTTGTGGCATACATTGTAACCCCTTTTGTTAATGAATAAACAAGAGGCCGATAATATGCTCGGTTTGCTCAGCTAAAAATTATTAGGTGTGGGTTAATACTTTAATCAGTACAGAATTGCAAGGACGCCACTGAATTATATTATATTATAACGGTTAAATGGTCTGGAGACATAACGGAAATCCACTAATATATAAGTTATATGAACTCGGGTTAAAAATTGATCAATTTTCGATGGTAGACTCAACCATTTTAAACATAAAAAATGTTGTCTAACCC